ACACTGGGGGCTGGAGGGGGGGCACCAGTGCACAGCTGCTAAACTAATGCCTTTTTTTCTTCGCTCAGGCACAGAGAAGCAGAGTGTGGTGGCTCACTGACAGAAACAAGGAAGGATACAGGAGGTGAAAATGAATTTATCCATTCTGAGCATAATTTGTTTTACCAAAAGAAAAAGAAAAAAAAATACCCAGGCTGTTCTGTGACTTAATGAGTAACAGGCATAATCTGTTACATTGAAGTCAAAATTAGGCATCAGATTAGCTGTTATTACATTAAAAACAATGAAGTCAATGATTTAATTAAAAAAAAGGTTCAGCCCCAAACCAGACTTGACTGCAGCTGAACGTTAGCTACACCCAAACCCAGCTCTCACTGCCACCAGGGAACCACCACTCCCTTTGCACTAGTTAACAATCTGATTAGAAACACACTCAAACTGATTTTTTTTTTTGCCTGTGTTTTTTGTTTTTAGCAGAGTGACAGATCGACGAGCGCATAAGCTCTCACGGGGCTCAGCCTGCCAACATCATCAGCATTAGGCAATTAAGCCCCGCTAGCTGAGAGAAAAATATATATCTTCTCAGTAAATATTTACTGCACAAATCTTTTACATTCATTCACCAGGCACTAACAAAACCTCTCTTTCTGAGTCCCCCCCTCCACCACCACCACCTCCCTACCCCTACATCTGCGATTCATTGACTTTACAATTTACCACATGTCGAGATGGGAGAGGTCGAGCCTCCATCTGAATCACGGCACAAATATGCAAGTGATTTATTGTTTTAAAAACCCTGGGCCGATTTAGTGCAACTCCACTTTTCCTGAGCATTACTCCTATTGGCAGACCATGAACAATTACAGTTCGGACTAATTAAGCTCAGAGAATGTGCTGTGCACCACTAATGTCTAGCAGGCCCCAATTTTAATTTAATGGTGCCAAACTTTGCTTCCCAGCACACCCAACCCCCCCCCTCCACTAACTTAACTCCTCAAATCCAAAGCAGATTGTGCTTTTTATGACTGTTTATTGAATCGAAGAAAAATAAGGACCTTTTCTTTCCCCTCTCCTCGCATAGGATGAGAGAAACAGCAGAGAGAGAGAGGAAGAGATGGAGCACAAAAAGGAGTAGTGGGAGGGAGAGAGAGAGCGGGAGCCGCTTCCGCCATACTTTGTAAACAAAAGTGATTTGCAAGACAAAAGGAGCGCAACCTTCCAACTAAATTCAGAGTGCATTTTGCGGCTGGAGGCTCAAAATACGGCCGCGTCGTGCCACCAAACCCCCCGCGGACACCAATTAGGCCCTATTAACATGTAAAGCCAATTTGATAAGGTGTGGGCCCTCTCCCTTAAATCCGCATTAAACTATCTTTCCTCTTGTCACTGCCAAAAACCCATTTACAGCAGGCGAACACACATAATCCATATGATATACCATTGTTATGCTTATGCTGCTGCCACATTTAGGAAAGATACTGTCTGTCTGTGTCAATTATAACAGATAAGGCCACAGCAATGTGTGCACGTGAGCACAAAGGAGGTGGTGCTGCATTCACTTCTGCATGTTCATTACAATAATCCGACCAGAAAATCCTCCATTATTATGTCTTCCCAAAATAAGAAGAGAAAGGAAGAAGTCAGCCTGTATGGGAGCGGATTTTTTTTTTTTTAAAGAAGGTGAATCTGCGACTACAGGAGCGATCCTGGCTCGACAACACAGCGGAAACAAAGAGGGAAAAGGGGAGAAAAGCTATTGTTTCAACACAAAGCCTTTGCAGCGTCTTGTAGTAGAATCGCCACGGGTTCTGGGAGCGTCTTTTTTCACTCTAAACACAACGTAGGATGCTTGGTGTTGCGTTTTCATCCCCCCTCCACTTTCTTGTTCTTTTTTAAACTACTCGTAATTATAGGTCGAAACTCAAAACCTCCGCCAAAAGTCTCCAGGCTTGGAGAATTATGGGGCCAGGGGTGGCGTCAAATATCTTAACATTCATAAGTCCGAGAGGCAGTAAATAAAGCCAGTGGATTTACGGCCCTGCAGCCCTGGTGCAGGAGAGCTGGCCGTCCAGATCCCGCTCTCCCTCCCTGAGCCTCTGCGTCTCCAGACCTGTTGAGGTGTGATGTTAGCCCACAGAACCGCAGTTAACCCGTCGCCTTTTTTCACAAGCCCTGTGTTAGCATCGGCAGGAAACAAAAAGGTAGACAGAGAGAGGAAGGGAGATAGAGAGAGCAAAAGGAGATAGAGAACCGGGGTGAACTGGGCAGGCCACTTGTCCAATTCAACCTGCACCCAGTGATCCAGCAGGCCTTTGTGTGAGGTTTGGGGAGGAGGGAGACGGCAGGGTGAGGAGAGGAGGAGACGAGGACAGGAAGGCTTTTAAAGCCCAGGCACCACGTCATGTCAAATTGCTAAATGATACTAAATTGTGAGTCTCCTTGGACTTAGGTGGTAGGAAAAACAAATTTGCACTGATTATGGCTCCCAGAGGTCAGACAAATTATGGTAACCGCCACACTTTTTTTTCGCCCACTTTGGACATGCAAAAACAAAAATCACAGAAATAGGGGGAAATGTCAAAACAGATCAGGGTTAACTGACAGAAAAAAAATCTATTTGTATCAGAATTTTGCACTGAGAATTACCTGCATTTTTTCAAATATAGGAATCATATTTACATTTAAAACATTATAATTAAATCCAACAACGCAGCTTTAAAGGCCTTCTACATCCTGAAAATAATTGTACAGCATCGCCTAACCAAGAGGAGCAGAAGAATGAAAATGAAGGGAAAAGCAGCTAGAATCAAAGCCTTTCATGACAAGACAGAGAAAGTCTCATTGCAATAATACCAGCAGTCATATTCAGTGGCTCACATGACATGTTAGGGAGCAAGACAGCTAATCAATGTCCAGGTGAATTATTTATGCCAGCTTTAAGTCTAATACATTTATATTACAGCGACCGCCGACTTCAAAGCTCTAATGGCTGGACACACAGGGCGCTGCAGACAGTGGGGGCCGAGGCTCTACAGAAGGAAGATCACCGCAAGCCGAAAAACCATGTTCATCATCTGCACTGTTCAGGTAGATCTGGGAATTCAGCTGTGGAAAATGTTGTCTCTTAATATGCCAATAAACACCTCCTCAAAAATCAGCAGTGGCTTTTTAGAGATTTTGTAATATTGTAAATAAATACAGTGGCACAGAGAGGAAACTACACAACAGGTAACAGATAAAGGGATGTATATATTTAAGTATAATAATAATAATAAAAGATCCTTCTCTTTCTGAAAATAGTATTTCAGGGGTGGAATTAAGGGAGCAAAGGTCAACACTGTCTTGCCGCAGCATCTTCCAGCCATGCTGCACAATTCACTACATTTCTTACTGCTGCATAAGCACAATGAAATGAGCGCTCCTCGGACTAGCACTACGCACAAAGAAAACTACAAACCTCTGCCACTGACACAAGGAAGTGCCTCAGTTTAAACCATGTGTGTTGTTGTGAATGTGTGTTTGTGTCAGTACTGATGAGAATAATGAGTGACTAATTCCACATACCAGCCAGTAGCGTTAACAAGGCTGGCTGACTAAGAGGGAAAGAATGGCACAATGTTCTCATATGCTGGGAATAATAAAAATCTTTTAAAAACCATAAAACACACACATGCGTAGAAAGGATTGTGTAAGCATCACAAATTATTTGAAACCCTGGGCGATCACGTTGAACAAGAAAACAGAAATTGTGTCAAACACAAAAGAAGGCATTATGTATCAGATGTGCATTTATATTTCAAGGTGTGCACAGCGCACAAAACAAAAAAATGGAGGTAACAAATATCAGTTTCGTTAGGCAAAGGCTGAGCTGGTGGGGGGGTGGGGGGGGGTCATATTTCCTAATGCCTGGTCTTTGCCTTAACCTTGTAAAATGAGATGACAGGTCCTAAAGCGCAGACTTGTAATTGCAACCGTTTAAAATAGGGGGGCTAAAAAACACCCATGGTTGAGAAAATTATGCCGCTTAAGGATTGCTATTGCCCAGTGGGACCTGCGAGGTGCTGAGCAAATGAGTAAGTGTGCATAATTATAGCATAGCTGATTGTGTCTAAATAACATGAATTTATTTATAAATATGGGTTAACATAGCACATGCTTCTTTTCTTTTTTTAAAGGCAGTGTATTCCTTATTAGAAGCATATGGCGCACATGCAGAGCACAGCATAGTGTTGCACAATCATTCCCATTCAATAAATAATTTTAAATAATATATATCAAAAATAAGTAATTATTAAACGATTTAGAAGAAAGACAACTCTAAAATGTTAATGTATGCACCTTTCAAATAATGTCTTTACAGGTTTTGACACATGCAAATCACTTTGCAAAGCTCATTTGCATATTGATTTTATTTGTGTGCTTTTACATTGCTTTACACTGCTTGCAGCGTGTCAGAAAGCCAGTGTAAAGGTCTCAAATGCTCATGCAGCTTGTGATAGAAAAAAGGGCATGTTTGATGAGGCTGTGCAAACACAAGCCAATTGCATTATTCAGTGGGTTAAAAACATGCACTTGTAGCCTGGAATACAGGACAATAATAACATAATAGAATAATATTTTCGCCATTTGATATGCATTTAATTAAAAAGTTGTTCAAGTAAAATTTCAGACAGCATTTAAGAAAACAAAAAGGCAAGTGCACAGGACCTGCCATATAACCAGAATGACCATTTTCATTGTTTTGGGTCCTAGCGCTTAGCACTGTTAGCATGCTAGCTGCTGCCCACGACAAACACGCACGAGCTGCCTGCAGGCGGACATGCATGCCACTGTACTGTACACTTCACGAGCTGCAAAACTTGGCTCTACGCTTTTATCGGCTGCACTTGCGGGTGACAACACTCTGTGTCCGGCAGACAGTGTCTGCCCAGACCCCGTGTGAGTGTGTGTAGTATGTGAGGATTGTGTGTGCACATACGGTTGTAAATAAATGAACTTACTGTGCGTGCTGTTGGCGAAAGTGATCCATTGGGAAGGTAGGGGCTTGAGAGATCGGGGATCATTATAAATGGATAGCCCGGGTACGGTGGGCTCTTGAACAGCCCTCCATCTTGCCTTTTCGCAGCTAACATGGCGGGGGGGGAAAGAAGAAAACTTTTTTTTAATAAAAGCGGCCTTGAAAACTTTTTTCCCACAAAATGCATTTGAGGAATAAAGCGGAGGAGATGTCCTCCGTCAGGCACATATAATGTCATGGTGCAAAAACAGCCAAGAGAGGAACAATAAAGCAGAAACTCACCCTCTTCTAAACTTTCTCTTGTTTTGTCTCTGAAAGTTTCAGATCTAGGCGGAGGCCGTCTTTCCGCCTTGAAATGCAATGAAACACAGGGATTGCGTTAAAGTTAACACAACGGCCGACGAGGGTGATAGTTAACTTTCTTTTTTAAGTGTCTCAGCGTGACAATGTGAGAATTATGAAGGCAGCAGTTTCACAGAGCCGGGGAACAGCGAGCCCCGCGTTTAATGCTGCAACTTACCTCTGAATCCGAAGAGCTGTTTTGATTCGTTTTCCGACTCGTTTACAAGAGAAGATTTGACATCGGCTAAATCCCTTTCTGCCGAGAGGTTCTCCGAGATTTTCTCATCCTGTTCTCCTTCGTCTTTGAAGGAAATCATTTCATCGTTTGCACCCAGATCGTCCCCTCCACCGCCGTTGAGTTGCGGCATTTTTTCCCGTGCAAAAATATTTTGGAGGGCAAAACACGAAGTTTTAAACCCTTGATCTCGGTGATCAGGAAAGTCCGAGTTTAAGTTTTGGTTCTGTATTGGCGTTTTCCAAAGCTCTGGCGGTTGGTAGAAAACTAAAAAAGAAGGGAGTCTTGGCAGAAAAAGGAAGCCGGAGAAGGAGCCGAGCCGCTCGGTTTGAGTGAGTTGAAGTTGGTCGGAGTGGTTTTCAGTTCAAAGGCGGCTCTGATTGACAGATAGAGAGGGATGGAAATAGAGAGAGTCTGGATTCAGGATTATTGACAGGGAGAAACACACAAGAAACTAATGAGATTCAAACAGGGAGGGACTTGAAGTGACGTTTTCATAAATAGGAGGAAAAAAAAGAAGAAGGGGGGGGAGAGAGAGAGAAAAAGAGAGAGGGAGGCAGGAGGAAGCCGGCGGACGACTGCAGAGAAAAGCATGTGAGGAGGAAAAAGCCAGTTTGTGAGCAGGACAGTGATGGTGGAATAGGAGGAAGATAGGAGTTACTTGTAAATGTGGATTAAACGCACATATGGGCGGTCTCCCGGTGAAAAAAAATGAAAAGAGGGTTCTTCCTCAGGCTATGTTGCAACCAGTTTGACTCCACCATTCCCTACCAGTCTGTCACACAGGGGCCAAATTAAGTTAAAGTTTCTTTTCTTTTTCATGCCTTATTTGAATTCTAATAGTCACCTTTTTTTGGCTTATAAAATCGAGGCCTATCAAAGCAAGCTTTTAATCCAAGCTTGTTTTCTTATTGTATCTGCTTTGTCAGTGCCTCAGATCTATTTTTTATTATATTAGATAATGTTCCCTCAGATCTATTTTTTGGGATGCAGGGTGTTATTGCATCCTGCTTTGTTGACAGGTGTGATGTCCTCTGGGACTAACCTGAATTCCTCCCTGGCAGCACAGACAGAGCTGTTTTTATTTCTCTCTCCTCCCTCAGCAACCAGACTGGACAAAAATAACTGATGCTCCATTTTTGTCTCTTCTTCCTACTGAAATACAGCCTAAATAGGGCATTAGTAAGACAATGCCTGTAGGTGATTGCATTAACTACAAATAAATAAATTGACAACATGAATTTAAAAATAGGTGTCTAATATATTAATGGTAACAAAAAATGTATTTGTCCTGTGTTTTTTTTTTCATTTGACATTATATGAAGACATTTATTGTATTTAATGTGTTCCAATTAATTAAGAAATAGAATTTGAAGAAAATATAACAATAAAGAAAAAAAGGTTAAATGTAAAACATAGCCTACGACAATTTTCCTCGGATAAAAAAAAACAGGTTATTTAGGGACACGCAAGATAACGTATAAAAAAAACCTCCCGTTGCATAAAATAATGTATTTAAAAGCAAAAGGAGGGGGGAAAAGCTGATGCTTGCTCCAGTTGAACAAGGGGGTTGTGTGTGTGTGTGTGTGTGTGTGTGTGTGTGTGTGTGTGTGTGTGTGTGTGTGTGTGTGTGTGTGTGTGTGTGTGTGTGTGTGTGTGTGTGTGTGTGTGTGTGTGTGTGTGTGTGGGGGGGGATGTGCTCAGCACCGGTGATTCACTAACCTTATCTCATCTGCTCAGGAAATGCCATTTCTATTATAGCCGATATTAGATGGAGCAATCACAAAATCAACAAGGAATTTAAAATGTATCTGGCAGAAATAGAGCTGATACATACATCCAGGTGACACTTACACTGTGTTGCAACATGGCTGACTCCTTGCAAGCAAAATAAATACATCTCTATAAGATCAAAACAAAACGTAGAATTGCTGATTAAAAAAATATATTGTTTCATGTCACGGTGCTGTTAGACGCAGGAAAACAAATGTTATGACAGTAATTCCTCTGTATCTGCCCTCAGAAGTGTTGTCAAACAGCAGTGAGGGGGGAATTATGTGCACAGTGTAGCACCAAAGTGTTAATCTGCCTACCAACGTACCTAGACCAGGCAACACCATGAAAAGCAGACGATTCCGCTCAATGATCACTGATGTGCTTTATCTGGATGAGGTGAAGGCAGTGTTTGTGTTAGCAACCAGCAGTGTGAGGGAGCAGGGAGGAAGGGAGAGTCTCTGGTTCTCATCCAGTGTGTGTTGAAGCAGCCGGTAGAAGAAGAAGAGGCCCCCCGCGGCTCGGGGCCCTCCAAACCTGAGCCCACACAGACCAGACCAAAGCAGAGGAGCTCCAAGCTGGCCTCTCCCCGGATTGCCTCAGCAGGTACCTGAGAGTTAACCGGGGGCTGGCAGCGTGTTATCATGCCTGCCGTGGGGACACCTGCCTCTGATGCTGCCCTGGTGATTCTAATCTGCAGGACCCTTTAATAAGATGATGATAGGCTGCGTCGATGCTGCTCTGAATAGTGGAGCAGGAGCAAGCTTTCTGTTGCTGTTTTTTTTTTTTTGGTGGCAGCGGCCTCACCTCTGCTCCATGTGCAGCTGTGGTTTGGTGGTACAACTGGGGATTGTTTCATCCACGCACTTCCATGTCTCAGTGTGTGGAGGAAGTCAGAGGCGTCACCAGCGTCTGATCACATGACTTCAGCTTGTTATTGTAGTCTTCATCTGCAATGATGATAAATAAATACACTGATTTTTAGATTTTAATTAAATGATAATCAATTGCAGATTTAATTATAATATTTGTCTGTGGCCAATACACATTTAGCTATGAAAATACATGATACAAATACTTTAAATAATTAATTATATGTCATTGTGTAACCTTTCAGACAGCTCTGTTGGAATTATTCTCTATGTGTGTCTGCTAGGAAGTTTAAAATAAAATATAGTAACACATGTTTGCCTCTTTTATCAATATGTATGTTTTCTTTTTGCCTAATCCTGCCTGTGTAATGCTACTATCATTTAGGCAATAAACAAAACAATATAAATATGGCAAATAAACCAAAGAATCTTTATGTATTGCTTTAAAAACATAAAACAATGAATTTCCAATATGTAATAATTGTCTTTGCTTGTGTGAGGCATGCTTTTTATTTACATATTTTTAGGATTGCACTCTTAAAAGCAGCCAGTAATCAATTTTAAAGGATTTTCTAGGGACATTATTTATTTTAATGTAGAATAATTAAATATTAGATCTATAGTCAGTCAGCGCTATTAGAATACGCAGAGTGAATAAAAGACCCCCTTAATCCTCTGAATCCCACTGCACATATGTTTATGTTTGTTGATCCTGTGTTTTAAAGGGGTATTAATAAATAAAAGAAATAGATCCGTCAAACTAAATGAATAGTGTGCATTGGGAAACCTTATATGATATTTTATTATTGTTTAATATGAATTTGATATTTGTCATATAATTATGCTTTCACACGTTTCTCTGATTGTTCTGTAATTTGATTTAACAGCTTTTACTCTACTTTTACATCTACAGTACGCGGTTAAATGACTGTCTCATAAAAGTAAATCAATTGTACATAAGTACTCAAAGAAACACATTGGAAAAATCCTCATACAGAACACCAAACTACTTTGAGAAATCACCTACTTTTTTGTGAACACCCTCATTGTTTCATCTCGAGCAGGGAAGGCAGCAGCAGCACACTTTGCACTTCCTCTGTGTTTGCAAACAGTTAATTACCCATCATGCATCCATGTTGCCAACCACACCAGCTAAAAGGTCTCTCGTTGCTGATTAACATATTCCTGCTGGACATTTTCTATTTTTTCCCTCGCAGAAAAATGCTTGTTTTATGGTAGCTGGGTTTTGATTTATTCCAGTAATAAAGTTTGTTCTCTTGATAAGTGAAACTTAACATTTTACTTTAGACAAGTGCACATTTCCTCTATTATTGGGAGAGATGCTGTTAAGTATTTTGGCATTTATAGATAATGCTGTCGTTAGCCATAATTACATGTACTAATGGTCCTGTTTTTTTAAGAACGGACAGGAGAGAGAAGTATAAAAATGGACTATTTCATATTGTATGTTATTCATATATTATTATTTAATTCATTCGAGTAAAAGCAAATCAGAGAATGAATATCTAGATTGTGCTTGCATGAATAGTTAATTGTGTGTTTTCTAATAGTGTTCTTATTACTGTGCTTGTTAAATTCAGCATTTGACAGTTTTCTATGAAGAATATTTCTGTGAGTACTTTTCTTTTTTTATCACTGAAGAATATTTGCTCAGTCTCTGCTGGCTTGGAATTGTTACTCCATACATCAAAACGATGAAGAAAAGATTTGGGATGAAAGATTTGGAAATGTAATAATTGTATATATATTGAATACATAATGTATGTATAGAGAGAGAGAATTTATATATTTTGTTTCTTTTTGTATACTTGAAGAAGTAGTTCCTCTGCTCTCTTGTCTCTCAGCGTTTTTATCATTTGTCACAATAGCACAATACATTTGATGAATACAAATAAAAGCTTTGTTTGAAAGAAGTATGTTCTTAAGTCTTCGTGTTATGACGACCAAAGCTAAGGTTACTGAATGGGGGCAACATATTTTATCATATATAGAAAAACGGTTTGAATTGTTATCAATGCACTCACGTACAGAAATGCAGAATGTCTGTTTTCTGAAAGTCAAGAGCACATTAGTGTTGAAAAGCACCTTCTTGAAACAATGGCAAAAATATTTTTCCCGTGTACAATCCACAATCACAATGAAGACAGTGGAGAGAGAGGATAATAGTGTAATGAACAGTGAGTCACATTGGTCTGTGACTCTGCACTCATCTAAAATCAATACCAACCTCCAGAGATGTCTCAACTAATATAACAAACAGCCCAACAAGCATTTCATTAGGGTTAAAAGTTTACGAATCAATAATCAAAATCTCAGGATGCAGAGCCTTATTTTTTTTCCCCCCTAGACAAATCCCAGGAGTGGGATCCGGAGTCTGGACACTCATGATTAATGTAGGTACACTGTTTTTGATATCACTGTAGGTTTTGGAGCGGAGTGTCTCCAGAACTGATCCACACAGCATCGT